CCGCTGAGCCTGCGCGTTTGGAGCCTGTGCTCCGCAACGGGAGAGGCCACAACAGTGAGAGGTCCACGTACCGCAAAAAAAAAAAAAAGGAAAACGTCTCCCTTCCCTCACTCAGCAGACGCGCTTCAAGGGGAGACACCCTCTTCGGGCTCCCGTCCCCCCAGCACCGGCCTGAAGGCTCCTTAGTTCTGTCAGCCTTTACACACACTCAGCACTTGTTCAATGGTCATCCGTGGGAAAAATCCACCGCACAGCAGGAAACACAAGCTGGCAGTATTCTTCATGCTCCTCGCACACTGAGACAAATGATGAGGAGGACGCAGCAGCGAGTGTCCTGTGTGTGCGGGAGACGCAGAGGCTCCCAGGGGCAGCTGGGTCCTGCAGCCAAGAGGGGAGGGCACCACCCCAGCTGCCTCTTTTCCTGAAATCCTGACAAAACTAGGATAGGCAGCCAGGTACACAGAGAGCAACTACTGGCTCAGGGCCAAAGGAAGCCAGACCTCAAGTGATCTGGGCTATTTTCCTAAAATGTTTAAGGAATAGCCACCTACTACCATAATTTTACTCACTTCCTAACAAATACTGACATGAAAAAGAACTGAAGAAATTATAAAAATATTCAGTTGATTATTAAGTGCTTTTGATAAACTTTGAGAGTGTACAAATTCTACTGGAAAATCATGAAGTTTATTTTTTCTTTTCCTTTAGCTTAATGGCAAGCACAGTAACCAGCTCATGGCTTACAAAAATCCAGGACACAGAAATACAGACCCCTGAGAACCAGGGTTATTACTATGGGGTAAGCTTTATGTGCCCTACTTGACAGAGTTACTGTTTAAATGACTGCTCTAAAATGAGTATTTCTCTTACCTCTGTTTATCTGTTTAAAAGGCTGCTTGTTTGTTTCGGAGGCCCTAACCCTAGGATCATTCCCAATGAACTCTTCCTGTTTCCCGTTGTTTTAAATCTTGAAAAGAATCCAGTTCCTCATCTAGGCTTTAAAAAAAATTCTATCACAGCATTCTGGAAGATTTCTATAGCATTTAAGGCAGGTGAGACTGCTTTTCAAATATTAACAGCGTAACAACTGTGAAAAACGTAACAAGTAAACATGTTTAAAAAAGCAAAAGGAAAAATTGTAAAGTACCAATCACTGATGCTGAAAACTCACTACAAAGATCCTTCTACACATTCAAACAGGCTCAACTGCAGACTGCACACCCTGTGGACGCTGCGCACTCCTCCTTCTGACCCCGACGCTGCTGTGCGGCAGGTCTGACAGGCACTGCTTTCTCTAATTGTAACTAAGAGCAATAGTGTTTAAGGTAGAAAACGGAAACCTGAAGTCCAACTAACTGACAGGTGACATAACCAGCAAAAGGTGAAGGAGAACTAGAATCCCAGGTGTTCTCTCCAAAAAGATCATCTGAACGTTGACATTTCCAGACCAGTGCTGTTCAGAGAGAATATACTGCAAGTCACAAAAGATAATTTAAAATTTTGGAGAATTCCCTGGCAGTCCAGTGGTTAAGACTCTGTGCTCTCACTGCCAACGGCCCTGGGTTCAATCCCCAGTCGGGGAACTAAGATCCTGCAAGCCTCTCGGTGCCGCAAGAAGAAAAAACAAAATTCTAACAGTCACATTGAAAACATAAAAAGACATGAAATTTTAACAATATACTATATTTAACCCAGTATATCTAAAACACTGTCATTTCAACATACTATATATATATATATATATATATACACACACACACACACACATATATATATATATATTTTTTTTTTTTTTTTTGTGTACGCC